ATTACATTGTATAATGTTGAATATACTATTTATCCTGATTTGAGCATCAGATAATGCACAGTTATTGATATTCAAGGCTGTACCCCACAGATATGTACAATCGTTTCAATAAAAAATAAAAATAAATAAAAATAAAACTAGTCTGTAATGAAAATAATAATCTACAGAAGTGATTTTGTACTTGTTAGATTTTCTTGAAATGAGGACCTAACTAAATAGATCATAGTACAGTTCTTTTTTTGTTTCCCCTTTTAAGCTAAGTAAAAATGTATTTGAATGTGTACATTTCAATACACTTATAGCTCACATTGTAGTTTTAAAAAAACAAAGGACTTTATTGTGGTAATCTTAGGGGACTCTACTGACTATCACTGATGCATAATGACAAAATTTCATTACAGTTCTAATTTTCTAAGTCCCTGCACTTAGGAAAAGACATAAAGCCTATACCCCCTGCGAGGAGGATTAGGGAAGGAAAAAAGGTAAACTCTTAATTTATTAGGATATCTAGTAGGAGAAAATTAGATACCTCTGACTAATAAGAAGAGTTTGTCTTTCATTAGTTGTCATGGCCCTTTACTGTGGAGGCAACAGTCTCATAAAATGACCAAAGAGACTGAGAAGAGGGCATAAAATAACATGTAAAATCTGAGGAAGAGAAAGTGAAATTTGAAAGTTTCCAAATTTGAAAGCTGAATTTTCCAATTCAAATAGGCTCACATTTCTCTTACAATGGAATACTGCTTTTAGCTAACTATGACTCTGTGTCATACCAGGATCTAGGAGGCATGATTAGAATAGTTGCAAAGGCCCAGAACCAGAAATTCAAGAAGTCAGGTAAGATCTTGCAGATTCCTACAGCCAAGACACATAAAGAACACTTAGGGCTGGAAGAACCAGAACACCACAGCAGGCTCTAGGAAATGTGAAGTAAATATAGCTTTGACCCCAAAAAAGGCAAAGGCTAGTGTTGCTCTTTCATAGAAGTCAGACATCACCTGTAGTGCATGAGATGTGCTCATCTTCTCACATTTCCATTAGAAGAATTCTAACTATTGACTTCTGGTATGTAGTTGAGGACTTGGCTTTCTTATAATACCATTGTTTCAACATGTTTATAGCAGTAATCACTTCTTATATTATTATGAGTAGGTAAATATTTATGTTATTATGACTATGTGAAGATACTTACTGAGTCAAGAATTTTAGTGGAAAAATTTTTTTTACAGTGATTGTTTCTTTGCCCATACAACTGTTTGTATTTCCTGTAGTTAATAGTTGCCTTGTTTTCTCATTTATAATACTAAATCCTATCCCCTGCTCTGCCACACTAAATGCTACAATAGATCTATCAAATGACTATCAATATATTTTCCTAAAATCTCAAACCCATCATATTATGTATTATTTACATTTTCTTTTTCTGGAAACCTTTCTTCTGCAGCTAATAGTCTTCTATTTTCAAGGGACTGGTTGCTCTCTAGGCCTAGGGGCTCTTGTCATGGTATTTCTTTTTCCTGTTCTCCTGTGTTAGATCTTTTGTTTCCTGGATCCTATAGCTTTGTCTTTGTTGATTACATCCTTATTATGTAAAGCATATGTTCCAGATGCTTTCTGAGAAAGTGTACATAATAGGTAAAATTTTAAAGTCTTTGTATATCTGAAGTATCTGTATTCTATTTTCACCTTTTGATTAACTTTTGCTAGGTTAAAAATTATTTTTCTCAGAAATTTGAAGGCACAGCTCTACTATCTCCTGGAATCTAGCACTATTTTCTAGAACTCTGATATTTTGACTCTTGTTCCTTTGTCTATAAGTTATTTAAGTTTTGTGCTTAGAAGCTTTAAGTTTTTTCTTTTTTTTGCCTCAAATGCTCTGAAATTTCATGATAATGTACTTTAGCTTCAGGTCATTTTTAATCATCATACTTAGCACAAGATTCGATCCTACCAACATTGAGACATGCATTCTTCAGTACTTGGAAATAAATAAATCAGTTACCACTGCCCCATTTACTTTCCATTTTATGCACATTTTTTTATTTTCTCATCTGCTATTGTCTTCTCTCTTGTGGGTTAATGTCAGATTCGGGAACCACTGTCCTAGCCCATTTATCTTCAAAGTCACTTGGAGAGTAGGAAACTAAATACCTAATAGTTCTTATCCCTAAATTATCACCAGAAGACAAGTGAGCTGTTTGAGCTGACCTGTAAGAGTTTGAGAGGAGGAAGTGTTTCACCACTAACTGAATCTTGAGTAAAGCTGAGAGTACAAACTTGAAGGTAACATGTAAAATTTGCTGGGAAATAGAAATGGCAAGGGTACTGGTAAAATTGTAGCCATGATAATGGAAAGGCTTAAATTACCAATGGCTGGGACCAAATAGGGTTTGATATATGGGGCACCAAGGCATGAAAAGTGCTCTGGCAAAGTCTCAGGCTTGGAAGAGAAGCCACTCTTCCCGCTCTTCTCAAGGATGCACTGCTTGACCTGGATCTGGTTGCCTCCTGGTATAACTATTCACCCAGAGGACATCAGATACAGTCTTGGAGCACCATCTCAAACGAGGAGAGCCAGAGAGTCCAGAGGATGCCCAAAGTAGGTTATATAAACAAAACCTATGTCTTTATAGAAACTGCTGGGCTCTCAGACTGCAGGGACGTCCCTGCAGGGATTAAGAGACTCTCAAAAGTGAACAGGTACCAAAATAACTCAAAACTGCTGGAGATAAAGTACAGGAAAGGACAGCTGCTATACCAAACTCTGAAGGTGCAGTCAAAGACAAGGCACAGTTGTGGGCTATATGAAGGTTCTAAATCCTGTATGCCACACAGCCATAAGAATGCCTTCCAAGGAGTCTTATGCGGATTTCAGGGCTTTTACATAAAGCCTTAAGATAAATGCTTTGGGTTCAAGCCCAGAGTTTGAAGGTGGGGGGGAAAGTAGGTTTATCTGAATATCAAAGCAATCCCTATGAAGTTACAGTTCAGTGTATTTGAAGTCTGTTCAAACTCTAATCAGTCAAAGACCCCTTAGGCAGAGCTTTCCAGAATTATGTGAAAAATTTAGTACTCGTAATAGTGACCAGAAAGTCAGTAAGCAGCTGGATGAGCCTAGATGTTAGATCCTCTCTCAGATTCAGCTTTTCTGTTCTAGGTGCCTGCACGGGACCAGTGAAAAGTCAAATGCTACAAATGAATAAGGTCCATCTGGTCAAGGTGGAGTTTATAAATTTTTTCAAACACATAAGTATTTCTCATTTTGATGGCCTGGATCTGAGAGTAGGTATCTCTGCTCTTAAAAAGAAGTTTTTAAAAATACAAATAACTATGTATTCTATCTCTAATGCACTGTGGGAGGGAAAGGTGTTGTACTAGAATAAATTCTAGCGCCCCTGTTGACCAGACTTTCACAGCCCAGACGGAGGCAATGGTTTTAACAATAAATGGCTGGGTGGAGCAGGGTAGAAAATATCCTGGGTCAGGCCGAACCCGTGGCTCACTCAGGAGAGTGCGGCGCTGGGAGCACAGTGGCGCGGGGAGCACTGAGGCTGCAGGTTCGGATCCTATATAGGGATGGCCGGTGCGCTCACTGGCTGAGCGTGGTGCAGACGACACCAAGCCAAGGGTTCCGATCCCCTTACCGGTGACAAAAAAAAAAAAAAGAGAAAGAAAATATCCTGGGTCAAAGATGAGAAGGATGAATATACCTGGACCACTGAACACAGGTGCCTTGCAGCCTTGAGGATGAGATAAAGGCTGTCAGACACAATTCAAGAAAAAAAAAAACCTTTGGTAAAGTGACAGGAGATACCGGTAAGCTCAAGGAATCACTGCTCCTGACAGATGAGTGGACAACAATCAGCATCTTTATGACTACCTCAAGGGAGTCTACAAGTTCTTGAAGATTAGGTTTCCTTAATATTTACCCTCCACAGAAATTTCAAGGGCCTTGGGAGCAAGTATCTGGTTTTACTGGTAGGTTGGTTATGCATGAAATAATCTATTCATCATTTTTATTCATTAAATATATTGAATAAAATATATTTTGGTTAAAAATATTGGAGGGAAGTAGATGGATGAATTAACTACTACTGCATGTTTTTCTGAAAGTTTGTTCAAGTTCTCTATCTCTGATTCCCTAATAAAGAATATTCTTTCTGTAATCTATGTTGGAGGGTTCGTGATTGTAGTTTTGAGCATTTGCACACCCTATTCTTTTTTGAACGTTCCTCAGATAAAATCTAACATAAACATTCAGTAAATAAGAAAGAGTTGCTCTCAATGAAGAAAGACCAGGTAGGATCTGGAACCCAGGGCCACATCTATGAATTCCTTGCAAAAAGGCTTAGGATACAGCACTCATAACACTGGATAAGAAGATAACTAGGTATGTGCAAAAATACAAGCATGATGGTAGAACCTCTTAGGGGCAGAAAGCTTCTATTATTTGATAGCCAGGGTCTAGGACATAGCTGGCTGGGACAGAGGAGGTGGGCAATAATTGCATGTTGAACAAATGAAATTTCAAAGCTTCTTCAAGATCCCATTAAACTTCATGAAAAATGAAGAGCTGCCTGAGTTAGTGGTGGGTAAGCCTGTATAAACCACACTTTTGCCCTTAGGGACACATAGGCATGCCAGTGCATGTTAGCCCAAGAAGTTCATGGCATTCCTGATCAGGGATCAGCAAAAAGCCCTGAGACCTTATTGACATAGGTATAAAAGACATCCATATCTGGCAAAGCCATGACAGGCTATGACTAGGCATTCTATTAACCAGCAGGGCCTGGTAGATGCCTTATGGTAAAGCAGGCAAGAAACTGAGTACTGAGAAGTAGGGATGACAGGAAGGAGCAGGGAGGATAACAGGTCTAGGCAGGTACATTCAACAGCATGAGATATCAGAGTTAACAAGAACAAAGGGACACAAAGCATTAATAATGAGCAGCAGACAGAGGCTGTTTGTTCTCTGTCTTGTTTCATAGGATTACTCTCTGTTGGTTTGTGGGAAGCACTGAGCCTACAGATATTGACCAATACAGTGAAACAAAGGTGAGAACTACAGGGAAAACTTGATCTTGATAACACAGTAGCAAAAGTACAAAGAAAACTTAACAATTTGCCTCAGCAGAAGAGCAACTGTAAACAGAAATGTCTGCCCACCTGGGGCAGGACAGTTATGCATCTCTGCTGAACCTACTTACCTCTGACTTGCTGTTCTAGACTAAGGATGACTGCCACGGCCTGATGAAGAATAAGGAGTTTTGTTTGGGGTTTTTCACTCTTCAAATGAAGTTGACACATTCGACCAAGCTCTTTGAATGCCTCATTAATATCCCGCACACGCAAGCGTTCCCTAGCATTGTTAGCCATCCGCCTTTCCTTCTCTCTTTCTATCTTCTGTTCTGGGTTCAAATCCTCATCTTCATTAGTACTGCTGCAAAATAATGTAATAACAATGTCTCTTAATGTCTCTATAAAGTAAGATATGCTGATTGTGCAAAATTATAAAGTATATAGATGGAAATAAAAATTACCTATAAATATTACCAAACAGTAGTGATAGCTGCACTTAACATGATTCTATATTTCTTTGCAGTCTTTCTTCAAGGTATATATATGTATATTTGTATAGTTGAAATTATACCATAGATATATTTAAGCGTTTTTCATTACACATTATAACAGAAAGACTTCTTCATGCTAATGAAACTCTTAATAAATGATATGACCACATAATATTCTAGCACCTTGCTATACAAAATTTGATTCACAGTTCAGCAGCATCAGCATTATTGGGAGCTTGCCAAAAACACAGAATCTCACATTCTATCCCAAAGCTACTGAATCAGAAGCTGCATCGTAATAAAATCCTCAGCTGATTTAGGACAGAAAGCACTGTCCTAGTACGTGACTTTCTCATAATTTGCTTAACCTATGTTCATGAATATATTCTGGCAGTCACCTGATGAGAAGGAAGAAGAAAAGCTTAAGACACAGATTGAGAGACATATCTCAGAAAATGGCTATTTTTTGTTCTAGAGAGATGTATCATTGTCAGTAGTGATGATTATAAAACATGGGAGAACTGAAACAATATTTTTGAAGGACATATTGGCAAATGAATCCAAAGCCTTAAAATGTTCATTTCCTCTTCATCAGTAATTCCAATTTTAGAAATTTGCCCTAAGAATGTAATTAGAGATGTACATAGAAATTTATGTAAAGGAAGCTGATCACAGAATTATTTACATTAGCAACATACTGGAATCCAAAATAGGAGATGGGTTAAATAAATTACAGTACATCCAGACAATGGACTACTATGTAGCATCTAAAAATCAATTTGCAGATTATGCTAAGGTAAAAGCAGCCAGCCACGAAAGACCACATACTATATGATTCCATTTACATGAACTTCTAGGAAAGACAAGAAACAGAAAGCAGATCAAGTGTTGTCAAGGGCCAGGGAATGGGGGAGATGACTACAAATGAGTAAGATGAAATTTTGGGGGGTGGTGGACATGTTCTCCATTATGAATATGATGCTGGTTATATGACTTTTACTGTTGTCAAAAGGACAAAAACTGTATACTTAAAATTGGTGAATTTTAATTATTATATGTGAATTAAACCTCAAAAAATCTAGTCCCAAACAAAAACAAACAAAAAACCATGCTGCAGAAAATACCTTTGGACAGATAAAAATGTTAAACATATGGTACTGAATAAAAACAATTAAAATTATAAAACTTATGTTCAGTTTAATTCCAATTTAAAATATATTTATGGAAAAAGAGATATTCCTGAAAATGTAAACAGTGGTCAATTCTGAATAATGGAGTTTCTTGTGATTTTTGTGCATACTTTTCTGTATTTTCCAAATTTCTATAAAGAAAGTAGAGTACATAATTCAAAAAAAAATTTTTTTTGAGGGACATGCTTTGGTATAACTTGTTGAAAGTTCTATTTATATTTCAGAAACAAATGACTGAGCAGGGATTCTCAGAACCTTGAAATAATGTGCACAAAGAAAAAGAGGTTCTTACCTCTTCTCTAATACCTTGAGTGTTATAATGAAGAATATGTACACAACAGACTCTTACTAGCTAATCACCAAGAATTACATAAATGCATTCTTTTGATAATAGGGAATCATTGGCTCTTTGACTTCAAAGGGGACTTTAAAGATCATCTAGTCCACAGGTGTCCAAATGTGGCCACTCATCAGAATCTCTAGAAATATTTAAAAAATACAACTTCCCAGGTCCCACTACCAGACATGATGATTTACAGGGCCCAGGCACCTGTAGTTCTAAAATGTTCCAGGGGTCTGTGTAGCAGAGTTGAGAACCACTGAAAGACCCAGAGAAATCAGTGACCTCTCTAGGATCCCACAGCTAATTAGTGGTAATATAATGATAAGAACTCAGGTCAGTCCTCCACAGAAACAAACCTACAACACATATCTAAAATTACCATCTAATGGCCCATGAGCCGGTCACCTGTTTTTGTAACTAAAATTTTATTGAAATAGCCAAATCCATTTGCTTATATACTGTCTATGGCTGCTTCTATAATAGCAGAGCTGATCAGCTGTGACAGACTATATGACCCACAAAACCCAAAATATTTACTTTCTGGCCCTTTACAGAGAAAGTTTGCTTAACCCTGACCTATAAGATAATGAGATATACAGGGAGAAAAAGTGCAAATTATTCCCCTTAAAATTTTATTTGAATAATAAAATTATGAAAGAGTTAAGATGCCTTGAAGGAGTGGTTTCTGGATTCCCTGACCCAGTTTTTACTTCTTCATGCCCCTGACAGTTGAGTACAATGCATATTATTATTATTATTTTATTTTTTGGGAGCTGGCTGGCATGGGGATCTGATCCCTTGACCTCATGTTACAAGGCTGCACTATAACAAACTGAGCTAACTTGCCAGCCCACGATGCATATTAAAATGACAGTATTAGAATCTTAAAATTCCATTTTTCCAAAGAGAAATGATTAGGTGTTGAAAATAGAATGTCAAAAGGCAAAAGAACACATTTTAAGTATGTGAATTACAAAAAGGACTATGCTGGTTCTTTTACCAAACTCATAATCTCCTTTGTACCATACTTTAACACAAAGAACATGTGATATATACATATTATTGATAAATAGAAACATATACCAAGAAATAGGACATACTACAAATATACTAAATCATCCAATTTTAATATAGAACTAGAAGGAAAATCTGAAGGAAGAATCTTGAAATCTTTGAAACTAATGTACTTTGTGCCTATATCCATACTTTAAAGAGAGGTCAAGTCAATTTTCAAAAAACTTTCTCTGACAACATCAGTCTCCCTGTAGTATTTCCATTTTCATACTTTTTTCAAATTACTGCTTAAATCAGGAGTCAGCAAACTTTTTCTGAAAAGAGCCAGATGGTAAATATTTTCAGCTTTGTGGGTCATGTAGTCTCTGTGGCAACTATTCAAATCTGCCAATGCAGTGCAAAAGCAGCCACAGACAGTATGGAAATGAACGAGGTGTGGTGGTGTTCCAATAAAACTTTATATAAACAGGCAGTGAGCTGGATTGGTCCATGGCCATAGTTTGCTGACCCCTGGTTTAAATCATACAGTAGAGGGCTGGCCAGTTAGCTTACTTGGGAGGGCATGGTGCTGGTAACACCAAGGTCATGGATTTGGATCCCAATACTGGTCAGCTACCAAAAAAACAAAAATCAAACAATAGAGTCCTACCATCTACTTAGCCCTTAAATTAATACATTCAATTAATAAATATTTGAATATATCTAAATGTTTGTACCACACAATTTAACTTGTTTTAGCTATTTGGGCCTCTAACAGACTGCAAGCAACTTGAGGGAAAAGATAGAATTCTTTTTTATCTGTAGACCCTAAAATGATATGGTATAATGGAAAATATAATTTTGGAGTCAAACCTTCATATATCTCCCTTTTAGGGATGTTGTAAGGATTAAATAAAAAAACATACATAAAAATCCCAGCAGTATCTAGAACATGGCTGGCAGGTAGTAAACAGCATGACACCCTTCAGCTTCCCAAGTATTTTTACCCACGACAAATGAATGAAATTTAATACTGGTTGCTAACAAATACCTTGTTCTGCCTCTAGATGAAACCTTGATATCCTTTTGGGAGGATTCATCATCTGATTTCATGTCGTCTGATGAAGGAGGTTCATGAAGGTTTTCATCCTTCTCTTTGTTTTCAGTCTTGATTTCTGTTGGAACAACAGTTCCAGACTGACTTTGCAAGCCACCTAACAAAGAGGCAATGGAAACATAAAATAAATGACCAGACTTATTTATGAATTAGAACTAAGGCAGTAAAAAGCTTTCTAGATGGTGAGTATTCTTAGGTGTTACAGGGCTATAATGGAAATCTGAAGATGTAGAAAAGTATATTATTTAGAGCTTTAAAAACTGTGTCCACAAACTTTTTATGGTTTTTACACCATTTGTATTTAAAAAAAAAACCCTGACCTTGATAATCAGTGTAATGCTAATTTTCAGGTACTAAACTGAGTAAGGTATGAGAAATTCGATGCATGCATTTTAGGAACTAATTTCTAAAATGCTGCCAAGGTAAAGGAAATAAACTGAACATTTTCCCAGATAATAAAATAAGTGACATGATTAAATATAACTGGGAGAAATTTATTTTGCTGGTCTTAATATTAGCAATATATTTCTGTTTATTTATAAGCTCTATTGTAACACTGATAACAGTTTGCTTTGTATCAGAATTGTGTGTCTCTTCAATTAAATTATAATCTCCAGGGCCGGCCCGGTGGCGCACTGGAGAGTGCGCCGCTTGGGAGCGCGGCGGCGCTCCCGCAGAGGGTTTGGATCCCATGTGGAGACCGGTTCCCGCTCACTGGCTGAGCGCGGTGCGGGCACAACACTGAGGGTTGCGATCCCGTTGCTGGTTCCCGGTACGGGCGCGACACCGAGGGTTGCGATCCCGTTACCGGTTAGTAAAAAAGACAAAAAGGAAAAAAAAAATTATAATCTCCAAAACAATGGCTTCCATCATTCAGAGTGAGAGCTCTGAGTATACTGAAAAGTATATTCAGAAATATCTTTCTCACTGCTTCTAGCTAGGGACAATGGAGGCTAACTCCTAAGGGGAAGTGATTAAGGAAGACAGACATGACAGAAGCAGGAGTGGGAACAAGATAACCAGCAAATACCTAACGACGATCTGCACACGAGTCCTTCCATCAACAGATATCTACAACTGGCCCAGGCAGTCATACTTTAGGGCCGACTGGAACCCGAAATATCCACCCTCCTCACTCATGCAGTAGCACTACTGTTTAGAATTTTCAAACCTAAGATGACTTTTGATTCACAAATGTCAATCAGGCAGTGAGAAAAGTAACAGTGTTCCACATGATATCTCTGTCTGCATCACTGCTGAAAACCAACAATAAAGTTACCTCTATAATTTTCTTGTGATTTATGGTTCAGGTCTGTGCTTGAAGCAGTGACTGTACTAGACAGGACTGAATGATTGCCATTGAGACTGACAGAGTCTTCTCGATGAGTTCCAACCTAAAGTAAAAAAAATAAAAATAAAAAAAAAAACCCCAAAATGCTCAAGATAGTTCAGGGCAGTAACTGTCAAAATTCTTTTACTGGATTTAATAGAAAAAACAGTAGTACTCATCTGAATTTAGCAACTTTTTTTGGATGCCACTTTTCTGGTTTTTGGTGGGAATTTCAAAATACTTGATAGTAGTACCACTTTTGAATCAAAACAAAATGTTACTTTTCTAAAAAATGAAAATCCTAACTTTCAAATTTTAAATACCACAGACGGTTGTTGTGAGATGCAAATAAGCTAAGAGAGATAAAGCATTCTACAAGCCATAAAGCAGTAAACATTATAGGGTCCATTAATGAGCCTATATAATCAATCTGAAAACCTATTTTATATTCTACCTAAATATATTAAAATATCCATGAACGTGCATTTAACAAAATACTACTAGATTCCAAGTAATAGTAGTATTTATCTAACTTTGGCATGCACCTTCCACATACACAGTATCTTAGTTTTTCTTCCTCTAACTGCCTCCCCTCAAAATTTTTAAAAGAGCAGCAAAAGTAATACAAAATTAAAGTAATTGAAAAGTTTTGCACTATCAGGCAACACAATTGTCATATATTTTTAATCTCAGCTTTAATCAAATTTATACAAGTTACGGTTAACCTGAAACAGGCGGTAAAGCGCACAAACACCACCAAGCCTTCAGCTATTGCAGTATTTTTAGAAGAACATATTACAGATGAAGGTTTTTATCAGAACAGTAGAGAAGTGTCAACTAGAAGATTAAGCCTTTAATTAAATAGGTTTATTGCCTGGAGTTATACATAAGAACCACAGTTTTTCAATAAATCCTTCAATCCTAGTAAACTGTCAAGCTTTGAATCCCTCTTGAGTAATTAATATAGCTTTTATCTTTCATGATTTTGTATAGATTTTACCGTAAGAAGTATATAAATACTCCTATGCAACTTTATCTTTTGGTTTCCTGTGAGCTAAACAAAAGAAACCAGAGCAAAGTTTTAAGCAATGCAAGCAACTTGGCAGTGCATCTGAATAGAATAAATCAGTTCCTCCACAATACTTTCTAAGAAATGGTTGTCTTTCACCCTTATTCTTTAATGTATTTTTAAAAACCCATTTAATGTAGTCCATAACTACTTTTCAAATTATTTGAGGATTAGTCGTTGCTGAGAATTATTTGTGTCACTGCTCCCTTGGATAATCATTAATTATACCCTTTTTCTAAACCACATAATTTCATCATGCATTAGAATCATAAAATCTCAAAGCTGGGAAGGGACCACAGATACTATGGCAGATTTCCATCCACCTTCCCACCTCAGAGATTTCCCCTCCAAAAAACTTGAGAAATCTGAAGAACTAGACATAAAAACCGATGAAAAATAGACTGTGAAAACTGTATTCAAGAGAGAAAATTATTTGGAAAATGTTTCATGAAATCCTTTCTCAAGGGCATCCTGGTCATGTTTATTCTTAATACCTAAGGGTGATTTCTTGCTAACTATGAAGTACTCAATGACCTAAAAGAAAGGTCAGTTTAAAACCCCATTTTATAAAAATACTTGTAGATAAGGGATAAACATAATATATAGCTGCAAGTTCTTTGGAACCATAGAAGCCTAAGCCTATTCTCAAGATAAAATTTACTAGAATACTTTTGACTGGCTAAGGAAATCATTGCAGGATAAGTTAAAAAAAAAAAAAAAAAAAAATAAAGCTCTCTTTATATTTATAATAATGTGGACTTAAAACTTCCTATGATCTTTGGTAATACATGCTAATTCTGTTCTTAGCTAGTATTTTGAACTATCACACCAAATAATTAAAGGAAATAGTCTTTTAAAATCTAAACTTTAAACATATGTGTGCTTACTATATATTATACATAATATATATGTGAAACTCATTTTATAGCTCTGTAAAACAATACCATTGACCAGTAACATACTGAATTTTCACTCGGTTAAGTGAGATGCATCTGCTGGATTGACTTCCTTTTATTTTATTAGTATAAATAATTCTTTGATTTTCTGAAACTCAACTAATAAAAAATGTTCTGATACTTCCTTTCTGATGAACAGCTTGGCAGACATAGGGATCATTATCTAAATGATAAATCTTTGGAATTTTGCCTTTCCCTTAAAGAAATCAGAAAGGTTGCTTGATTTGTTTTGGGATATACATGCCAACAAATTTTTTTGCCTCTGTGGAATACTATATACTATTTTCTCATATCAATCTACATTATTGGCTTTCAAAAGAAAAAATTTAATTGGTACACAGAACGAAAACATAAGCCTTTAAAAAATAGCCTCAGACTAGCAGAAAGCTTGAAGTCTGGAGTTTTTCATGTTAATGAAGTTAGCAGAACTTTTTCTTTGTAACTTGATTCCCTGTGCAAATGGCTCTGGTAATATTTTCTGGAGAATTTGACTTTCACAGTTTCTACAGTTCTCTTTAACCCTTGCTCACCCTCACTCCCATGTCCTCCCTTTAATCTGCAGCTCCACATTCAAATGGCTCTGTCTACACACACAACAGGTGTATAAACAGTTCTTTGTCTGCGCCTAGAGCCTGTGGGGCCAGTCAGATAGGACCCTGTTTAATTGTTCATCTCGTTAGCATACAGCTGACAAGCTGCTGCTGCTGCTGGGGGAGTAGCAGGGGAAGGCAAATCCCTAGGCCTGCTATGCTCTAAATTTCAATTATTATGAAGATCCTCATTTCAGAATAAAAGGCCCATCCCATTAAATGACATCATTCATCACACTGAATCTTCACAATCTGTGTATGGACTTACTTTTGTGGGAGTACCCAACAAGGGACTTGTTTTCATTTAATTCTGCCAATGGCTTTCACACTCACAATGGAAAAATGTTAAATCTCATTAGTTGAGGAATGAGAGGTGTTGTTAAGGGATAGACTGAAAAATACTCAGTATAAAATTCCTCTCTGATTTTGAATTCTGTTCTAATAATATGTTCAATTTGTACCATTCACTGAATACTAATGATTTAAATGAATAGTAATGATTTAAATTAATCAGCATTAGGATTTGGTTCCCTGTGCCAGCCAGCCACCAAAAAAAATATTTTTTAAAAAAATATTAATTAATCAGCATTAATCTATAGACCAACAAAAGGACCATTATATAATATACTGTCTACCCTAAGGTATTGTTTTATCTGAAGAGGGACTTCATACTATAAACCCGGTTTGCCATTTAAGTGATATTTCCACAAATGTTTAAGCACTATGGTTTTCAAACTTTAAAAACTTTGGACAATTTTGCATTTTAAAATGTTATGCAAACCCTTAAAAAGCACTATAATGTGGTCTTAAAAAAAGAAAATTTTTAAAAATTGCCCATTTAGGAAAACACTGGCTAGAAATAGTAAGAGAGTGAGTGGTTAAAAGTAAAAACTTTCTATTTAGTTGAATCCTAAAACACAATTTCTACAGCATATAAACATATACTACTAAAATTAAATATTGTCCGTATGTAAGGTTAAAAGGATTCCAAATTTATTTTGATAAGTGACAAAAATGCTAAGGTAATTTTAAATGAAATATTACGCTATTTGCCATTAATCTTTAATAACTTAGTCTTAAGTCTTTTGGAACTAAGAAATATATAGTTTCTCTAATTGCTTTAGGATTTAGAAAACAGATATGATTTAAAATTTTAAATCACTGTATAAAGTAGCTTTTTAAATTTTAATTTATCAACATACAATGTAGTTGATTTTCATGTCATAAAGTTGCTTTAAATTCTATAATTTAACATTATTTACTATGCTCTCATACAAGAATACCACACTTCTCCAACCATAGCTTAAACAATGAAAAACCCAATACTAAAAAATTAATTACGTGAAACGCCTGGATTAAATTTCCTAAGGACTTGTAACAATAAAATCAGAAGAACTCACGAATGGAATTTTATTCTATATCATAAATAAGGCACTTTCTAAGATCTGCATCAAGCTTCCATTAGTACAAAAAGCTTATAATCTCAGTTTGGTCTGAAGGTGAAATCACTGACTGAGAACTTTCTGTTAAAGATAAAAGTGCTAGGGCCGGCCCGGTGGCGCACTGAAGAGTGCGCCGCTTGGGAGTGCGGCGGCGCTCCCACCGAGGGTTCAGATCCCATGTGGAGACTGGTTCCCGCTCACTGGCTGAGCGTGGTACGGGCGCAACACCGAGGGTTGCGATCCCGTTACCGGTCGGTAAAAAAGACAAAAAGGAACAACAACAACAACAAAAAAAGATAAAAGTGCTATCATTTTGGGCCTAGGTATATAGATATTTAGCCATAAACAGACGTGATGTACGATAACTTTGTATTGCTGAGACCGCTTTGTAATGCACAAATGAAATTAATGATTCCATTCATTTTTCCACTTAATTTTTCTTCCTGTCAGCAGTTTTATTACAAAAGTTTACTCTTAAACTAAATAAATGGGAACAAAACCAAAGCTAAATGCTGACATTAGAATACTTCTAAAAACTTTGATTTTGTTTTAGAATTTAAATGATATATCAGTATCACATACTAATGTGTCTGACAAAGTCTTAAGTCTTATATTTGCTTTAAGCAAATATAGAGAAATATGTCAAAAATATTGAAAAGGAGTAGGAAATTAAATAAATGAAAATGTTAACCCCACTGAAAAAGAAGAGCAAATATTTAAAAGATGCTAGGCTGGATACACTAATTACATAAAAAGGAGTAGGAATTACTCATTTCCTAGTTTCTTTTTACAATATAATTATCTTGCAGGAAATTTAATTTTTGTGTATATTAGGTAGTTAAAATATGTTAAAAGCCTTCGTGCTTGAAACCTCACTTAATTCTAAACTCTGATACTAGTCAAGTATGTCCAGTTAAAAGAAACAATAGCCAAAATTAAGTGTTTTAATACTGACTCCTATCCTATTAAGATATATTTTTGGCAGGTGGTAGTCTTCCTCTTTGTGTGTGTGTGTGTGTGTGTGTGTGTGTGTATCTCTCTCTCTCTCTCTCTCTCACTCTCACTCTGGCTGGTAGGAATCAAACCCTGGACCTTGGTCTAACCAACCAACTGAGTTAAATCTCTCTCTCTCTCTCTCTCTCTCTCTCTCTCTCACTCTGGCTGGTAGGAATCAAACCCTGGACCTTGGTCTAACCAACCAACTGAGTTAACTGATCAGCCGAGGTAGTAGTCTTTTGAATTCCTTGGTGTAAAACATAAAAGTATTTTTCTGGAGCAATTAAAAAATACCAGACAATAATTTGACCTATCAGACATGAAGATGGATCTCCTACAAATTAATGCTATCAGCTCTGGATGACCTCACTGGCATAATCTTGTTGTAACTAAAAACAATGTAGTGACAGGTTCTCAACAACAGAGATTTTTCCTTGACCAAGGACGCTGTTTTGGTTAACCTGTCCACGTAGACTTTGTACTACAAGTAACCTGATCACCGGCTTGTTTACATTGCAGGCTGGGAACTGAATTGTCTGTACCACTATTATCCTGCTATCAACTCTTATTCTTCCACTCCCAATGCATGCTGGCTCACCTCAAATACTCCAATTACTTTAACAAAACTCCAAAATCACTCATTAAAACAAAATAAGCAAAACGTTACAGGCTTCAAGAAAAAGAAAAAACATGCTAACCTCCATTACCTGCTCTGGAAAGCCAATTTATGCTTTAAATCAGGAATTGGCAAAGTACAACCTGTGGCCAAATCTTGTTCTAGTTTTTTAATAAATAAAGGAGCCTCTTTTTGTAAATAAAATTTTATTGGAATACTGCCACACCCATTTGTTTTCACATTGTCTATGACGGCTTTTGTGTTACAATGTCAGAGTTAAGTAGTTGTGACAGAGACCATATAGCCTGTAAAGCTGAAAATATTTACTATCTGGCCCTTTATAGAAAAAGTGTGCTGACTCCTTTTCTAAATGCCAGGAGAGAAAGCAATATCATATTTAAACCCTATAATTAGGATGCTGACCTACAGTAATAATGCCCATTAGAACACAATTACAAGAAAAATATTATTTGAATGTTCTGTGGAGTTCCTGAAAATGATATTTATGTTTGTCAGAAAAATTCTACTCTCTGCAAGAAATAAATGGAATGATGAAAATTAAATGTTTTTGAAAGAAGTTGACCTCACAAATACTGCGTGGTGATATAGAATTGCTAATAAACTGATATTTCTGTGGTCACTTTAATTTTGGCCATGTGGCCTTTATTTTTAGAAGCCTAAAACAAACTAATGTCTGTCAACACAGGAAAAAGTATATAAAATTCTAGGAAGTTCAACAAGACAAAAAAAGGAAAGTGATTCCAGAATGTAAAATTGCATTATTTCTTAGTCATGATCAGTTAGGAGAATAAATGGAAGTGAGAAGGGAACAATAAAAGCAGGAGGTTAACTCTTGGAGATGGCTGCCAACATTTACAAAAACGTATCCTCCAAACACACTCCCGTGCAACAATATGAAAGAGTTGATTTTATATGTGGGTACTGAGCATGTAAGCAAGGCACTGGTTCCAGCAGTACTGATGGTCCCCTGATATGGATAAGAGCTGCCAGAATAAGATAAGAGTCTTCCTCAACAACATGCCTAAGACTCAGCTGGGAGAGTCACTGGCAGACTGTTACTTTCATTTCATTCCATCCTTTGGTCTTTTTGCTGAAGCTGAAAACAGGACTCACAGTTTAAAAACTTTGGAAGGATGGGTGAAGAATAGTGACTCACCTGACAGTGTCAGATTTTGTCAGCTAAAACTTTATCTTTTTGAGGGATAAGTCTGGCAGAAACATCTGATCTCCACCACTGGGAAGCACTAGTGATTGTGTGTGGATGTTGCGGAGATAGCAGATGGTGTCTGGCAGATTCTTAACAGGTCTGTGCCCTCTAGGAAGTTTATAAGAACTGAAGAGAAGACCAAGAAACAGCTTGGGCTTAATTGCTGTGACACTGATGTTACTGCCAGACTTACCTCATGTTTCAGAAGACCCTTTTTCTAGACTGCTTTGAAATTTTTGTGTAAGAATACCTATGGCAGCACTTTTGTTGATGTTCTAAAGCAGGGAGCACATTCTTGTAGAATATAGTGTGAGCTATTTCCTTAGTTAAAAGTTTCAGGGCAATATCAAATAAAACAATTTCTCTTTCTACCAGTCCTTTCTAAATGTACTAGTTTCTATATGGCTTTGGAGGACTGGATTTTGAAAAATCTCTTTTCCTATTAAGGCATATCCAAATTTGGTAAAAACAACCTCCTTAACACAGAAGTTCCATTTTATACAAACTTCACATTTATTGGGAAGAGCCAGAGATATATAAAATATTGCAGCAGATAAGTAGGTACAGGAGCAGTAAGCTAGTAACAGTGAAGAATTAAAAAATGATTAGGAGGTGAGGAATAAGAACCGCAAATTTTGCAGTTGACATAAACTTGGGATACAAGTATACTGATTTTCAAGTCATTCTTCTAAATGATACTTAGCATTTCAACAAATTATTAATAATTTGCTATTCTACATTCATATTTGCAAATACCATTTTATTGGTCCTACTGACTATACCATTAAAATTATTTTATTACTAATAGTGATAACAATACCCCCTATTTCTATGAGTTTAATAATTCATAAATATTTTCACATTTATTGCTATTTATCAATAGCAACAATAGCAGCAGCTCTCCCACCGTGGGTTCGGATCCTATATGGGGATGACCGGTGCGCTCACACTGGCTGAGCGTCGTGCGGCCGGTCTCAAAAAGGACAAAAAAAAAAAAAAAAAAGGTAGCAGAAGTTCAAGATTTCCTGACTTTAAATGAAAACAAAGAACTGGTGGTTAAGATATGCAGGCATCTTATGTTATCCATGCTGCTGAAAACACTGTTCTCAAAAACAAAGCAGCCTTGTTTGATGTTTACTTTGGAGGCTCCAAAATGAATATAAATGTCTTTAAGACAGGTGAATGTGAAAATCTGGAACCTATTTTACAGAACACAAGCCTTCAGCATTTGGGGCACCTAATTATTCTGATGATAGGTGAGTTTTAGCCTTGATCACATGCCTTACAGGTAGAAATCTGTTTCACAGGAGAAAATTTCACAGCAGGCAATGAACCTTAAAAAACCATGTCATAAACATGCAAACACATGGTATCAGTTAAATAGCAGGTTCAAAAAGAACTTCATTCCTTTAAAAGATAATTTGGATAAAAAATAATGTAAGACATTCAATATAAAATTTTTGATGTATATGGCTACAAAAGTCTACTTTTTCTCCCCCTCTAAAGAACTACCATGTTTTTTAAAAGATGGATTGAATTATTTTACTGTATTCAGGGATTAATCTAAAATTGTTTCCTTTCTTTGTTACTTAAATTACAGCCATTCTAAAACTACCCCCTGCCCATTTTTTCTTTTGTTCTTTTTTTTTTTTTTGGCATCTGGCTGGTGTTGGGATCCAAATGCTTGACTTGATGTTGTAACGCCACACTCTAATCAACTGAGCAAACTGGCCGGCCCCCCATTTTCTCCTTCATTTGGGAATAAAGTTTAAATTTTGACCTGTACAAATTAGTTTCACATTCTTTCTGCTATTGAAGGCTGGTTCCAAATTATAATAAACAACTTTTCTAAACCACAACCCTTGAAATTCAGTCTTGCTTTATCACCTTTGCTTTTCAGACTTCCTGTTTCAAGGCAACAAATGTTATGCCAATTATTACCCATCTGAAAAAAATCCAAGTTCTCTTGGATAAAATGATCTCTGTAGAAAGTTTCTGCTTTTTGTACATGATCATAGCAGGATTTTAAGGTCCAATGCTAAGGGACCCTGCCCAAGACAGTAAAGAAAATTCTTAATAGTTACTCTTCCTTTAAAAAATAAAGACCTTCTTCCCCAAAGATTTCATTAAAAAACACTTAGGATAATAGGCTTCAGGGGTTATTACAAAAATGATGAACACTATTTTACCATTGAAGCTGATCGACTGCTCGAAACAAGGCTTGACCCTCCATAGTTTGAATTGAGGCTTCCAATTGGTGCATTATGGGATGGTCCCAATAAACTGTGTATATCATTGTGACCTGCAGGCAAACTGGTGGAAGGTCCCACAGCATGGTTCCGCAGCACATGGATAGCATCATCCAGTCTGTCTAAACGATCCTCCATTCGAGACTGCTGTAAGGATTGAAAAAAACATGGAGGTTACAGCTGATTATCTGTTAAATTCATTAAACTGCTATGTTTCCTACTTTGGGATGTGTGAAAGATAGCAAGTGAAATGCAATATCAAGTTGCTTCTAGAGCAACTACCTGAACTACAAATCAACAAAAAAAGAAAGGTTATCTGTAGACTATGCTAAATTTTCAAAGCTTCAGAAACAAATGACTGTTTTATAAAATAAATTTACTAATCTACCATGAGGTTATTTCTTTTAGCTTCTACAAAAGATGAAGGATACTATGTTGATATTCAACAATAGCCGATTAAAAAGGATAACCTGTACTTTAACACTGATCTTCAAATGATGGCAATTTGGGGAAGGGTCCTCAAATCCATCAGTTCAAGTTATAACTTTGTTTTAAGTGAATAAAGCATACCTATCTTAAATGGTAGACACATCCAGATATGCTCTTTGAAGAAATGACATTGTCTGTCTGTGGACACACACATGCCCCATACACAAACTTATTAGAATTAAAAAAAAAATCAAATGCACATGCCAGTAGAGCTCTTTTAAAAAGAATCACTCTCAACAACGTAAGAGACAAAAGCCTATTCTTTCTTATATAGTGTTACAAAAACTGAAATGGTCAATTGTTTGATTTTAAAAGACTTCGAAGTCTGTATAGCATGAAGATTTTAAATGGATAACGGGAAGTATAATTAATTGAAACACAAAAAAGGCACCATCTAAAAGAAATAGTACCTCACAGACATCCTTTAAGAAGGACATTGCATCTTGCAAATGCTCGTGAAGTTGCTGCTCAACTCGATTTTTCTGGCAAAGTCAAGACAGAACAGGAGGCAAAGCACAGGTTAAGATTAACTTCAAAAGAGATGAGGAAATAGCTGATGTGCATGTCAGCATAACGTGTTAGTACAGTTAACGCGGAGACCTGAGAGATCTACTTGTATTAAGGTATGAGAAGGCTGGGATTCAACAGGGAAGTTACAAGGTTAGCATCTAAACAGCACACATAGCTTATATCTGCTGTTTGAAAACTTTCCTTCATATAAAAATGTTCTGTTAGTCAACAGAAAAAGAACGTTCCATTTGCAACCTGGAATTATTGAACGATAGCATGACTTAGTATTCCATCAAATCACCCTTATTTTGTTTTTATTCTATTTTGTAATTCTGGGTTACAAATGTAAGCATAAAAAAGCAACAGTAGTTAACATTCTACCACAAATTCTTCACTCTTAAGTACCTAGAAGATTCCTTTATTCTACTACCTTTTTTATGTTTGTTAAATAATGTTTTGCTTGTATGAGTTGCATAATACATTCTTTTTTATAAGAAAACATGGGAAACAACACTTTCATGACAAAAATACTTGATATTCATTTACAATTTTTAATGGAATTGTAATAAACTATACACTGTATTACCATACGAGAAAGAGTAAAATATAACCATTTTACATCACTGTCATTATAAAAACTTTTGTTAAATGTTGTTTATTTTTCAACGTTAGGAAGTAGAAACACAATGAAAAAACAAGATAGAAGAAAAGAAAGGATAAAAGTTCAGAGTGGAAAGAATAAAAGGGAAAAAAAAACGAATTCATCCATATGTTGGCGGAATGCAATATTTTCATGGTCTTGCCAAAATAGCTTTAAAAGGATAAAAACAATTGATCAAAAATCTTCATTTATTTCATGATTGTGCATTTGAAATAAGTTATTTACAGACAATAATAAAGACCATTCAATTAAATATACATTATTGTTCCTAATAAAAGCTTCAGTGACAATCTGAACTATATTAGAAATCTAAATTGGAAGTTGAAGGTTTACTTAATCTGTCTGGATTATTGCTAAATGAAGTTTAAATTGTGTTACACCAGAGCCCATTGTTGCAGGTCAATTTGCCATATCTAGGAAGCTAAAAATAATGTAACACTACAACTTACCTGCTGTCTCAGAAAAACTTAAGGCAAATCAGAAGTATTATAGTTCATTTAAGCTGAACAACACCTTTGATTACTAAACAACGTACTAATTGTATTTCCATCAATCATATACATTTTGCAAGTTGAAAAAACTGGATACACAGATTCTTAATAACCTGACTAAATTTTACAATTAGTTATACACACACTTTTGTGATTATACAAATAAATTTTAAACACTAAAATTGTGAGAAAAATGTTATACTTCAGTTAATTATTTTACTTATAAGTAAATTATAAACAAATTATTTTGAGGACCATTAAAGGTTTCCTGCTAGACACAAAAAAATATAATCATAAATCAATTACACAAATTACAGACAATCTAAAATTGCTCACTGAAACAGAAGCTTGTGGGCTAATTTTATAATAAATAAGTAGAACTTAGCAAACACAAAAACTCAGTAACTAACTATATAAAGAATTCATTAAAAAACAATCAGCCAACACTTTACCACTGATTTTAGCATATTAATAATTTCAAAGCACTGATAAAGAGTAATGAATTTTATGGATAGGTTAATCATAATCTATTTACAAAAAGACCCTAAATTATTTTTAAAAAATACTTTCCCTTAATGTATATAATATTTTACTTGTCAATCATTTTGCTCCACTCCTCCTCCAACTCCCTTGGGTGACTGGCCTGTGACAGGAGTTTGATCATCAAATTACTTAATTTGCATGAAATATGAATACAAGTTTTATGTTTAAACACCTCAGAATTGTCAGCATGCACTTGCTTTGCAAACAGGAAGTTTTGTGGTTCTTCACTAGCTTAATGTGGAATCAGATGTGTGCACAAAGTTACTCAGGTAAGAAATTATCTATATTCATAATTTTTTGATGGTGATATGAAGAAACTATGCTAAAGTCTATCTCCAAAATGCAATCCACTAAACCAGAAAAAAATACACATACACTTAAACTTGTTTTGTTTTTATTATAGATTGGGCTTTACCACTGTAACAGACTTAGTTAAAATAGAATACCTGTTTGAACTTCACACAAATGCCAAGCTATATTTATTTCTTTCACACAAATGCCAAGCTGTATTTATTTCATGGATAGAGCACTTCTAACCCTATCAAGTCATTTAAAAAATTCATGGTATTGGTCACAAAGGAGATGACTACATAGTTAGACAAGACAGTTAGTTTAGCAGACTTCACACAAATGCCAAGCTATATTTATTTCATGGATAGAGCACTTCTAACCCTATCAAGTCATTTAAAAAGTTCATGGTATTGGTCACAAAGGAGATGACTACATAGTTAGACAAGACAGTTAGTTTAGCAGAAGTCAGTACTATGGCTGATAAAACTCAAAGGAGGGTATAGAAGTTTAGTGGACACTAGGAGTTAGCAGACCCACATTCTGGTTGATCTATACTATTAATTAATTTTGTGAGCCCTGACTATAAAATAGGGACACATAGGTTTTGTTTTTAATCTGCGTCACAATGCTAGTCAATAGGTATGAGACATGAAAGTGCTCACTTCATAAGCCTAAAGGTCTTTTCTTGATGTAGTTCTATCATGTAATAAATGAAGGAAAAAAGTACATATCCTAAGACTTTTGTGATCTTGGACCACTGCTGACTTATTAGCTATGGACGAGACCTTTGTGGGTGGGGATGGGATTCAAATTCTGCACAAAAACCATAATGCTAGCATGCCTCTCAACACTAGAGAGCCCTACAGCTTCATCTCTTCATAAAACTAGTGTGTGAATAAAATATACAGATTAAATTTAGAATCATATTGGTGTCTCCTGCTTGCAATCATCAACTGTAGCATTAATACACAAATGTGAAAAAACAAAAGTGCAAAGGCTGGAAATGTCAGGGGTTTCCTAGAGAACATGATATTTCCCCCCTCCTCAACTGTCACTTGATGTTTGGTGGTAGACATACAAATAGGGATTGGGCTTATACTTTTTTCTAGTAGAGAAACACAAGCTCTCAAACTATTCTGTGTAGGAAACAATTTCTGTAATTGCCCTGAGCTTTTTATTGACCACTTAAAAAAGTCAGCTCTTATACAAGAAGAATTATAATAAACCTAATTGATCTTAAAATCTATTAAACGTTTCCAGAAAAAAAAAAAAAAAAAAAAAAACTAGCTGGGTCATTAGGAAAACAGAATTGAATTATTTGGCTAGAAAAATCTGGAAAGGCTTTGATCACTAAATCTAACATTCACCCAGTGTTTCTGATCTGCTCTCACTCTGAGTGGGACTTAGTAAGTACTTCACTTACTACAATTGGTTAATTAATTTAGAGAATAGATCCCAACATTTTGCATGGATTAGAGAATTCTTTGGACCATTACCACATATTTTCTTATTTTGTTAGTTGTTTCTCTTTGTAATCTCATCCTGAACTCAAGCTTTCATGAGACTCCCCTTTACGAGGAAAAGGTTGGATAATCCTAATCCTTAATATAGCACTTTGCTTTCACAATCTGGCCCCACACAACTTTTCCATCTTAGTGCTTCATACTTCCATCTGTGAAAAGCTCATAGTCATCTCGATGACTCTGGAGGAACAGGTCACATACTTTCTCACATCTGGATCTTACGCTCTTCCCTTTATACCCAGAAAACTCCTTTTCTTCCTTTTAAAATCCTATTCTTCTTCATGAAACCTGTACTGACCACTCGTTTAGAGTTAATTTGGATGGCTTTATTTTCATGTGTTTATCTGTTATTTTCTCAACTAGACTGAAAATTTGAAGTCAGGTAACTGATTTAACACCAGGCACTCTGACAGATGATAAAAATAAATATCTCATTAATTGAATTAGCCCAAAGTGAGGATTCACCTTTCTCTCTCTCTTCATTTGTTTTTACTGTAAATGTTATGAGGATTGCTACTGAGAACTGCAATTACTGAACATTTATTCATTTATATTCTAGAAGGAGGAAAAGAAAGGCAAAGGATGGTTTTGCTGTCTGCCTTCCAAGCTCCCTTAAACACATTTTTAAACACAAATGCTTGTGTCTTTTCCTACATGACAGCTATAGTAGACACAGCCATTTCTCTTTTCTACCTTGTTGCCAGAGCCCTGATTTTGTTCACAAGGAGGTGGAGGGTGAGTCTATCCTTTCCTACTATGAACCAGGAGAGATTAAGTCTATTTTTAGCTCTTGTGATAAATGCTAATGCCTAAAATAAACAAGGTGGTTCCATTTCTACTGCAAACAACTGTGTTCAGCCCAATGCTGGCCAATGAGACATGAGGGGAAATCTGTTGAAGAGGCTTCTAGAAAAGGATCCTTAAAAGCCAAGGAAGAGATGGTTCTTTTTCTTCTACTGGACATTGTTATGTCTGCATATGGTACGTTGAACTTCTGTCTTGCCACCAGCCTGAGGAAGAATTGCAGAGAAGTAGGGTAGGAGCCCTGAAACAGAGGCCAAGACCCTGCCTGCTATGGGCTTCTTGTCAAGCAAGATAACAAATCTTCTTATTGTTTAAGCTAGCTGAGACAAGAGTTTCTTTTCCTTTCAGCCTAAAATATCCTAACTGATAAAATATCTCAAAGCTTCCTCATAAGTACTCTCTAGCTAGAAACATATGCCCCTGGCCTGATTTAAACAAGGATGATTGTCTTAGAAGCTGTTTCTGTGGCTCTGCACCTGTGAATCTACTCACAAAGTCGGTGCTGAGTCTCACTGATGCTCAAGCATAAGGAATATGGCAAATGTAAAGAGCACACAGTAGGTAGGACTTTTAATTCCAGATACTGTTATAGGCCATTGCCACACAAGATAAGGAATAATTTCCACATATTACATAGGAGCTCTGGTTTACTCTTTTTCTTTTTCCCTTTGACTGTGCATATTTTGTCAAATAGTGCTTTCCTTTCTTCCTTTTCTTTTTCCATCTCTGCTCTGCCATGGGGGGTAGGGAGAGTGTGTGTGTAAGGGATGTGGAGATAAGAAGGAAGCAGGAGATAAAGGAGATAGGAGAGATTCTTTGATTATGACTGCTGAATTGAAAAAGCCTATTAATATCTTCGTTACACAATTCAACAATCTAAATTTTCATTAATCAGCTGAATTAAAGTGGAAAAAAATATTATCCATTAAACATCAAATAAAGATGGAGGAAGAAATGTGTGACTTCACTTGATACCATTATTTTTTGAAGAACCTCTAAGTCTATTATTCTCCATTTCACTGATGTCAGCATACAGTCTGCCTTCCTACCTGGTGTTAACTAAAACCAAGGGACATTTTGGTAGTTATCTTATAGGCAGAGGTCAGAACACACAGTAAGGGCTGATATGGTCACCTCAGGTGAGAGAGAGAGGAACAGTCTGTGGCAAAAATACTGATAATTTTAGAGAAACTGTGCCAAGAGTACGAGTAGTGTTAAAGTTACATCATTCTTCCCATAATTTCAGCTCTGTTAAACAACTTTAAGTCAATGGGTCTTTCATAGTCTTGTCTATGTGGGGAACAGCTGTTCAACTTTTACTAGACAGCTGAAGCCATGGTGTCTGGGAAAGTGGCAGAACCTGCTAATAGCTGAAAGCAGCTGCCAGCAGTTCATCATCTCCACACCGGAATGCTTCGCAGCAGAGTCAAAAGCTAATATACAAAAGCACAGGTGATCCCAAGGGCCCTGACAGCTCAGAGCCCTGATTGTGAGAAACCCTGAATAAGGCAAAAATGCTCATAACAACAGAAAGCAAAACAACACAGACTTAACCAATGGCTTGATTAGGAAAACAGAATTATTTCTGAGGTCAAGTGCTGTTGAACAAATATAGCCATTTTACCCAATCGCCTAATGTCTTTTCCTCAAAACAAATACACTTTTTCTTCAGCAAGGTTTTTCTCCAACTGCTCAAAAAAATATAGTTCAAATTTTAAAATTACAGCTTGATATTAATAAACATTTACATGTAATTTTATTCCTAATATACTGAAAAATTCCCATTTACAATAATAATTGTGTCTCAACAAATTTATTCTGTAGGATAGTATCTAGAACCTGTCAAAACTAATGTGAAAAAGTTCAGAAAAAAGTAAAGCAAATCCGAACCACTTATCTTCATTAGCAGTATTCAACCACATTCACAGAGAGCTCTTTTCCTTAGCAGACAAATACATCATCCCCAAGAATTTTATTTATTTATATATATATGTGAAATAGTAACTTGGTGGACTCACGAACTATCTAGCAGAAACAGTTATTCATCTCGGAGTGTTACACATGGTACATGGTGAGTTTGGAGAAGAAGGAAGAAAGAAGTTATATGCACTTTTAAATAGATTATTTTTATTTTCTATGATTTCTTATAAAATTTTTTGATTTAGCTCTTTCTCTGCATTTTACCTTCATCCCAATCACCTAGCCTTATTTTTATCCTGTTATAACAATTTTCTTCGAAATTATCAAATTATTTTAAGAATTAGGAAAGATTTAAATAAATCAAAACTAGCAAATATTTCAATATTCTTCAAAATGAACTCAAGGAGAAGGCTCTATTTACATGCTTTCTTAGAGTGAAAATCTAAGTAATTTTTTCATAAATTTTTGTTAGATTAAAAATAAATAAATTGAAATATTTCCAAGTAGCCCCACACATGTGATGAAGTAGATAAAAAAGAAGCCTACCTGTGAGAGGTGAAGGCGATCCAACTGGTGTTGATGGATTTGATGGAAAACTACTACTGGTATGGTCAGGAGAATAAATCTAACCAGAAAACAAGAGATACACATGCATAGGTATGTGACAACAGTAAAAATATAAATCCATTCACATAGAGTTATTTTTATAATCTAAGCTGCCACCCCTAAGATTCAGAGTGAAAAATTTTCTCATCAATTTTAGGACTGTTTCATTACATAAGGGCTATAGAAGCCTCAGTTTTAAAATGAGGATTAAAAAGTATATATATTCTAATATAGGAGGAATAAAATAGATCATATTTATTTATTATTCTAGTTGAAAATAATTTAAAGTTTCTAATTACTAGAACAGAAAAATGAGAAATGACTACAAAGTTAACAAATCTGGTAATTAAACAATCATTCTCGAATATACAATCTAAATAAGTGGTACCCTTTAAAAATAATTACCTCAGGAAACTATTAACTTATCTTCTGGAATGGTCTTTAATAAAAAGCTACTCAGGGGGCTGACTGGTTAGCTGAGCTGGTTAAGAGCATGGTATTGATAACACCAAAGTTAAGGGTTTGGCTCCCCGTACTGGTCAGCCACCAATAAATAAATACATACATACATACATACATACTTAAAAAGCTACTCAGTTTGATCAAGCACATTTCTGTCCTCCCCGTACTGGTCAGCCACCAATAAATAAATACATACATACATACATACATACATACTTAAAAAGCTACTCAGTTTGATCAAGCACATTTCTGTCAATTTTAGCTCCAAATGTGTTGTGAGTGTTGTAAAAAATTAAACTTACTCTCAAATGATACTTTGTCACCCTTGAAGAAACTGAAAAAACCATGAAGTGTTTCAAAATATTGTTCCCAAAATGATTTGTGGACTTAACTTCCCAACAGGTCTACTTTGAAGAGGATAACATGTCTGTATGCATGAATTTTGGTATTCTGGCTAAAAGTTTTGTTGCAACATTTTAAATATTTCTCATACTGACAAAAATAAATAATGATAGATATTCACTCAAGTTTACCTAATTAACTGGTATATACTTAAAAAGTACCCTTAATCCACACACCAAGGGTTCCGAGGTCTCTTCTGGGACAATCCTATTCTTATAACAGGTTTAATAAATTATTTTTGAATATCAGTCCTTAATTTAGGGCAGGCAAGTCAACTTATGTGTATAAATTGTGGTCAAATATTTTAAAAAGGAAAACTATTTGTGAGTGCAGAATCATCCAATAGAAATAACCTTGTTCTGAATAAGCTTACAGCTCTAATAAATTTAAAGAGGACTGAATTATGACATAAAGGGTCTCAGCATTGGTTTTCAAAAAAGCATAATAATGTTTTTTCAGTATCTGAAAAAGCCAGATATTGGGACAGGTTCATGTAAATAAAACAAAATTCCACAAGTCACAGTTAACAAACGTAATGGCTTTCATTTTTGAAAAAGATAACAATTCCAAATTTCAAGCAGCCCCAAGTCTACTTTCCTTTGACTATAAGTGGATATATCTACTTCAGATAAAATCTACCTATTTGTATGATGTTTGTAAATTGAAATTGTAAATACCTTTATACACCAACTTTCCCAAACAGCCAGATCTAGAAGTTGTATACTCAAGTTAGAAAGACATTTTGGAAAAGCAAAGCTATGGAAAAGAGTTCCAAACACTTTGAGAGGACTTAGTAACAGGGAGGTGGCATAACATAAATATTGCTGATCTTAAAGTTATCTTTTAAAAAATTTATAGGACAGGTGAAAATTAGCTAAAGGTCACATTTCATTCCTAGTGGCTTGCATACATATATTGATTTATTTCAACCATGTAAGTAAATTAGGTAAGGTCACCAAACTTCAACAAAAACATGTCTCAACATACCTCTTTACCACTGTAAACCACTATTTCCTGTGTTCCAGATTTAAATAATTATACCTTTGTGAGCAATTGATGCTAACTTTAATGAAATATGTCTTGACTATATGACTGGTAAGAGTAGGGCTGATAACATTGATGGTGAGTATATGAGTGAGAAAAGCTTCAGTTCCATGCAAAACTGTAATTATCATAAACTAGCCCAGCTCACTGATTTCCAACCCTCATCTGTAAGGATTAATAGCATGAAAGCACTGGAGAAACAGCATTCTCTGTCACACCCTCCTGCTTTTGTTTACTTCATAGTGCTTACATTACATTCCTAATCATCTAAATTTACTTGTATGTCTCTTGCCTTTCCCCTAGTACAATGTACGTTCCAGAAGAGAAGGACTTTGTCTTTTTACTGCGGTAACTTCAGATTCCACAACAGGTCTGATAAATGGTGGGGGTTTGATATATATTCATTGTAAGAATGAATATCACCCTTGCTAGAAATTTCCATTTCAGTGATTCTTTTTGGTCCTTGGATGTATTTACCTAGGATCCAGCTCTCTTTTACTCTTCTAGTTCCCTTGATGTAGGTTTCCCCAGAGTTCTAGTCTGGGTTATTCTTTTCTATTTACCTGTGCTTTATCTCTTGATAATACTATTCTTTCTTAGGTGAGTGACTCCTACCTAAGTTGACATCTCTATCCTCACACTGGTTGCTGGACTTCTCCATCTAGACATGCTCTTCTTTCATCCTAAGCTCAGTATGTCCAAATCCAAGTTTTGCATCATCACCCCAAGCTACTTAACCTTCACATCTCCACTGTTTTGACTTCTTTCCGTCGGTAAGGAGCACCCTTTTTACTGTAACCAAAAACATTCTCCTTCTCCCCTTTTAACATCTGTCCCTCTACCCCTCTGTAAACACTAGTACTCAATTCTTTAAAATGTTTCTAGGATAGACACACATCATTCTCACTGCGAATGACACCACTATAAATCTTTACTAGAACCTGTGGCTGGACTAGTTAAGTCTTCACATGTCTAGTTATGCCCTTCTCCTTCCATCCTATACATAATTGCCAGAACTATTGTCCTCAAACATGACTTTGAACAGTCAAATCCCATGCTTCCTGTTGCTTACTAAATGATAGAGAATGACATCTGATGTCTTCCATAATATGGTCACAAAAATACCTTTCTGCCTTATAATCTACTTATAAACTACATGCCCTATTATACAAAAAAATTTTTTTTTCTGAACATAGCATGTCCTCCTTTCAGAATGCCTGTTTATTAACTTCTCACTGATGGAATTCTACACAACATCTAAGCTCAGTTCAAATGTCACCTCCTGATTTACATGTCATTTCCATCTCCTTTATACTCTCAGAATAACCTGACCTTTTCTTTGGTCTTTTACTTCACATTGTGTTCTCCATTTTCATTATTTGTGTCTGTCTTATATTCTCTTCTTGACTATAAGCTCTTTGAAGGCAGGGCCCTTACATTGCTCAACACTAAATCCATCATTGTCTGCCACTATCCTGTACAAGGAGATGCTCATTTTTTTTTTTTTTAAACTTGAGTGACTAAATTACACTTGAAATTTGTTATAATACTCACTGACGAAAAACAGGCCTCAGTAAATGGTAGTATTTATTGTAGTATTTACATAATTAGGTTCAGCAATAGAAATATCAAAGGGGGAAAAAGAGCTTGTCATAAAGATGACTTCATTTCAAATCAGTTTTATGGCATAAACTTTGAGAATAATGATATGGTGAGGTTCCCCTACTTCTGGGAATCAGTGTTGATGCACTAAGCTGTCCATATCCCATCACTCGGTAGGTAGATATAGGCTTTTGAGGGTAGAAATGAATTACCAACCCTATTTTCCCTGACAACTCTGCCCTTAAACAATTCCTAAGCATGTCAAGAACTGGTGACAACTCCTTTAAGTCAAAGAAGGAAGATGGGCCGGCCCCGTGGTGCACTCGGGAGAGTGCAGCGCTTGGGAGCGCAGCGGCACTCCTGCCACAGGTTCGGATCCTATATAAGGATGGCTGGTGCGCTCACTGGCTGAGCGCGGTGCGGGTGACACCAAGCCAAGGGTTGCGATCCCCTTACCGGTCACAAAAAAAGACAAAAAAAAAAAAGAAGGAAGAGATTACACTTTAGAGTCATATAAGATCACTACTGTAAGTGACTTAGCAAAATGCTCTGATGTTATATGTAAAATAGGTGTGACCTTTAAAAATCACTGTGTAAACATGAGAGGTAGATCAAAAATGTATCAAGGATAAAATAATTTCTGGTATTTTTCCAAAAGCAGCTTCTTCATTTGTATAATAAAAGCCATTTTTTTTCCCCACTCATCCATCACTTTAACTGGCAAAGTAGAATCAGTGAAAGTGATGATGAAAGTGTTATCAATATTTTTCCTGAACTTACAGATAGCCCAGCAAGTTATAGGACTTTTTCTTGTTCCTTTTACTTTCATAAAAAGAATATAGATATGCGGAGAGAAGGAGCAATACAACATTAAAAAAGCATAATACAATCTTTTGGATCACAGATCATTTCACTAAACGTTATCACTGCATGTTTATTCTATTACCAAGTCACAAATGAATTATACTTATTCTATAGAAATTGTTGTGCTACTTTAAGAAATTTTAAACACAAGGCTTTATTTGGCAAACAACATTCTAAATCAAGAATACATATCTTTTCAGTCACTTAAAAAATGGGGGTGGGAGTGATTTAGAGTCTAGAGCATAAACACAAAGTAAGAACTCATTCTGCATGCAGTCCATGGTCCTCATACTGTTAAATGACCAATGATGAATAACTCCCAATACCTTCTGCCAGGCTTAAACGGTAATATGCCTCATTTTACTGCAACAAATGAGGCTCCTCCTCCTATCAGTCATGGTCCATTCCAATCAGCAGGGTGCCAATAAGCCAGAGGCTAATGAAAAGGGCTTCGGACAAAAACGAAACAATGGAGCGTACCCCAAGCCCAACCTGGAACCATGAGCTCCATTTTTTAAACACTACAGTGCACATTTCAGTTAATCTTTATTATGCTAATGTTATTGAGTCTAAGGAACAAAGAAACTTATTTCATGAATTACTTTTAAACGTCAACTTCCCTGAATTGTCTTTTCTTTTGTTAGAGACTGCTGACCATTTAACTATCCAGATTAAAACACACGCACGAGCACACACACACACACACAAGCACACACACACAAGCACACTCACTCTTGCTCTGAGGTAGAAATCAAAACATAAATTATCACAAAGAAGTCTGATATAATCAACAAAGTTAAACAGTCCTCTTGTTTGATCTCCTCTAAATTAAAGACCAAGTCTTTTGATATGGTATTAGGCACTGAAATAAACCAGATGTTTCTTCCTCTATATAACTCTCCATGGGCGCAATCTTAAAGGGTTATTGTCTGGCAAATGTTCAGGGAAACACATTAAAAATGGCATGAATACCCAGATTTTCCTTTCTTTCTATCTACCCTAGTTTATTGTCTAAACTAATGCATAATCCACAGGGCTTTGGGAACTTTGTGTAAATACTTTCATGTACAATTCTCTTTCTTGCTATCCTGAGATTAAGACCACAATTATCCAGGCTTAAACCTAAAATAAAGGAACCTTTGCAAATGCATTATCTGGCCTTACATGTTTAATCACACAGTATTCTGTGGGCTCTTTAATACCTAAACTGAAGAACAAAGGTTGTACCCTCTGATGTTTCACACATGAAAGACCTTCTAAGACATACATCAGACATTTGGGGGAACTAGAAGTAACTTCTAATGACAATAGCATGATGTTTCTCCATCTAAAACTAGATGTTATGTTAAAAATGTCACATTCTAAAGAACTTAAAATTTCAAAATAGTAATGGTCATCATTTCCAAAGTCTGTAATACCTAAAATAAAATTCTGATATGCATGTCAGACTCTCAATTGTAATCCTCATTAAGTTCCTTGTCCTCATCTGTTCTAATCCTTCCTATCCCAGACAATGTAATGTTTTTGTTTTTCAGTACATTTTGAGAACACTGAACACACATTAAAGTGAATGTGAATCTGTAATGAAAGTTAGAAAAAGAACGTGTTTGGGAAGGTATCTGGTTGGGGAGGGGGCGGAGAGGAGCAGATGGACCGAAGGAAGGGATTTGAAGACTATGGCATGCAGTGATGGAGCAGATGGAATGCATCACCGTCAGCTATGACAGAAATGATTTATGGGATGACCTGGCTGCTCCAGCCTAGTAACAACACAGGATGACAGAACTGTGCTTCTATGACAACCAAAGCCCACCCACTAACTAGATTAAACATTTCTTCCCTGGCTTCCATTCACAGTGAATTTGGATTTTCTTTTCCAAATGCCATCCTGGTTTGGCTAGTATGATGTTCATAATGTAGGAAGATATTCAAGAACTTGAAGAGTAATTGAAAATGAGCTTGAAGGGCCACTGAGGACATCACAAATTCCTGCCTGCCTATATGCCAAGGTTTCTTTACAGAATATTCCTCAAATAAAATAAGCAAATGACCTTTGAGAAAAAAGCCCCCGAAATGTAGGTTATATTTTAAAAAGTTGCCTAGTATTGAAAGTTCAAATGTTATCTGTCCTCTTGTATATAAAATGTTTGTTACTGGATTCTTTCAGAATCAGCAGAAGTAATAAGGCAAGCTAGTCAAATACCTGGGAGCCCCTCAGATTTAATAGTATAGAATAATTTTCTTCCTGAAAAGGTCATTTTCACTGGATAGGTATAAGTCCAGAAAAAGGTGGGACAATTCTCTTTAATACTCATCAACACCTTGAGAGACATATTTACCACAGCACTGCTCCACAGCACTGCTCTTTCTGGTTGTATAGAGCAGAGGTTAAGAGCAGAGTCTGAAGCTAGTCAGATCAGGGTTCTAATATATGTGATCCCTACTAGCTTACTAGCTCTGTGATCCCTAGGGCAAATTACTTAATCTTTCTGAGCTCAAATTACTTAACCTTTTAAACCTAGTTCCCCCTCTGTAATATGGGGATAATAATGCCAGCCTCACAAGGTTTTCTTGAGAATTAAATGAAACAGGACATATAAATGTATGTATTACATTACTGTATGTATAGTCCCTGGCTCCTAGTAAACATTCAAATTATAGCTGATAATTTTTGTGGGTTTTGTTATTATCATCACTATATTATACGATCCAAGACTGAATTCAACCAACATTTACTGAGCTCCATTTTGTGCGAGGCTTCACTATGTAGTGGATGAATTCGCCTTGGTTTCATTTCTTAAGAAGCTTGTACTTATCTGTGGAGAAAGGTTTATTTACAGAAACAATATACAAAGAAGTTTATCTCCTTAAATGTTCAATAGTTGCTTCCTACTATTCACATATTAAAGTGCTCTGCCTTCCCCATGAATAGTGACATGTGTTTGACAGAGTTAATTGCACTTCACAGAAAATAAGACAATTCTATGAGAATTCTAAGAGGCATATTGCTTAGAAAGAAAGAAGAAAGAAAGTTTAAGGAGAAATTTCAGAAAGTACAAAGCAGAAGTGCCTCTTTTAAATAATTAAGAGTTTGAATCTTTGTAGATTACTGATAAATGTTCTCCCTTCAAGTTCGAGCATTCCAAAAGAATAGATTTTAATTTTAATGTTTTAAGAATCAGATATTAAAACACAATTTTGCTTTGTTGCTGAAGAAAATACTATGGGATTCCTTCAAAACAGTTTTACTCATTTTAGCACAAATTCTTCAATAAATTTGGCTTTTTTTGAAGGCTCTCATTTTCTATCTTTTGAAGGAATCAGGGAATCAGCTGCAGCTGAATGTCTTTTCCTCTTTTTTTTTCTTTAAAAAAAAAAAAAAAATACTTTCCATCTTGGAAAAGCTCCTTACAGAGGCACTTCATTCTCTGGATCAGAAAAATAACTGAGTTGTTTTTCTTGGTTCTACTTGACTTATTTTAATGGGCCACTCACTAAGTGTGATACATTTAAAACAAATAAATAGACTTCATGATTAATCTCAGTAATTTGTATTTTAGATTACTTCTTTTTCTTTTTCTGGGGACAGTGTCCAGAAGCATTCAGAATGCTGTTTAACATACTGTTGTAGGCTTTACTATAATATAGTCCTTAACAAAAGTAGACTGTCCCGGGCCGGCCCGGTGGCGCACTGGATAGTGCGCCGCTTGGGAAGTGCGGCAGCGCTCCCGCCCGAGGGTTCGGATCCCACATACAGACCGGTTCCAGCTCACTGGCTGAGTGAGGCGCGGGAGAATTGTTTACCTTCATACCAAGAAGGTTGGGAAAGCATGAAAATCTTCATGTGGTATGTACCCAAGCAGACTTTGAGGGATTTGTGCTGTGAACTAAGGTTCTTATGAAGTTGTCTAAAACTAAAAAACATGTCAGCAGAGCCTATGGTGGTTCTGTGTGTGCTAAATATGTCTGCGAAAGGATCAAGCATGCTTTTCTTACTGAGAAGCAAAAAAATTTTTGTAAAAGTGTTGAAGGCACAAGCACAGAGTCAGAAAGCTAACTAAAAACATAAAGTTTTGAGTAATTAAAAAAAAAAATCAAAGGCTTACAAAAAAAAAATCCCAAATTTCTCTTCCTTCTCCATATACCTGTTTCACTAAAACAAACACAGATATTTAAATTGAAGTCAGAGGGTACTTATGGGGATGAGGTGGGAAGGTGGTTCATTCTCACGAGATAATGTAAGGACACTTATCACCCACCAAAACTAATCACTGCATTTAGCAGTGTAAAATTCATTCAGCAGAATATGTAAACTCAATACTCACAGATGCCAAAGCCTTTCCAAGTGCATCACCTGTCTGTGAGCTTCCAGCAGCATTCCCTCTAGTTCCTGGATATTTTAAGTAGGGAAACAAATTAAGAATTTAAGCAGGCAAGTTTTTTTTTTTTTTTTTAAGCACTTTACCATCATTTCAGGGGTGTTCTCTATTGTTATCTCATATCTGTCACAATAAACCAGGAAATACTCTGCTTCTGTTGCACTTAATATATAAGTAAAGATACGTTCCTTACCAGTTTCTATATTAACAAAAATAAATAAGTTTCTTTTCTTCCTTTCTTTCACTTTTAAACTCAATACCAAAAAATATATTAAAAAACATGGGATTCACTGAAAATCTCGAAATTAGGTTTTTGTAAGTTTTGCCAACCCAGAAAGCTCACCTAGAATGCTATCTGATCCATTGATGGGAGGAGTGTGTGAGGCAGCCACATAAGGTGAACTGCTGGTACTGCCACGATGAAAGCTGGACATTGGTGGAAGACTAGTGTTTATGTCTGTTGGTGAAACTGAGTGTGGAGGATAACTCTAGAAAAAGAGGAAAAGAGACATAATCTATTAAATACATTTTCTGAAAAATATGCACATACAATGGACAACTACTGTAACGGGTCAAAAAGAGCATTACAAGTTAGCAGCTAAAGAGTGCTACTACTGTTGTTTACTTTTTAAAAGGGCATGGTAAATGCAGTAAGCTGAGAAGTACTTCAAACTTCAGAAGTTTTGGCAGAATCAAAATTTACCCTTAGAATAAACAAAAGAAATACAAATGAGGACAAAGTGTTGCTGCACCCTAATCATGTGTTATAACCTACCAAGCGGTCATGTGAATGAAGGCTGCCATAACTACTGGATTGAGATATATGGGAAGTGGAGGTTCCCAGAATTCCACCAAAACCAGGCTGGCTCATCCCATTTGATGAACTCCAAAGGTCAGAAGAACTGTGGTTCCCATCTAAGACAAAAAGAGAAATATGAAATTTTCTTTAGTTAAAAATTTTTTTTTTTTTAATTTTGATGATGCTTATAAAAATTCAAAGGGTACCCTCCAGATATTTCTTTCCTCCCTTTTCTAACCTAGTCTTCTATCCAGTTTTCTTCCCTCTAAACTGTAAAATTACTATTTAAAAAGAAGAAATAAGCTTTATAGTTAGGAAAAAAAAGTAATCCAAACTGTAAGAGGTAGGTCATTACAAAAATCCTCAGAATATCTAAATTCATATCAAGGAGGATAATAAAAATTCTAAATTAAGGGATAGGTTGCATTTAATTTTTGGTTAAATGGTAAACCCATAAATATACAAATCAAGTTCTTAATACATAACAAGCAATGTACATAGTATCAAACATTTGAAACTGTGGAATAAAGAAGTTTCCCTAATAGTAAACCTAAATAAATTGATAATGACCATATTATAGTTAGCCTTCAAATGAAATGTGTCAGCAATGACCTCACTCACCAATATAAAGTCAAGGAACCATTTATGAAACAATTTATTGATCCCATATATACGCTTCCCATTGTCCCAAACCACAAGAGACCAAATAAAAATGATTTACAAGAAATGAATTAAAGGAAATGCAACACTTTTTCTCTTAAGTCTTACTTTGTTCTATAATATTCACTGTTTATTTAATTGGTAATTCTAGGTGTGATAGGACTCTGTAATTTAAACAAGAGTTGTTAATTGCTATCATACATTTAAATTCTAAAATACACAAGACTGTTCTCATTTCTCTCAATTTATGTCCTTTATAAATTCAGACAATACTGGATGGGCACTCCAGTGGTTTCCTGGATAATACAACTGAATTGCAGTCAGCAATAAAAGGCATTAGAAAACTATAAAGCTAAATTTTAATTTACTTAAGTCAAAAAATACCTAGATAAATAATGTCTGAACTCCTGTATAGGTACTCTTTCCTCACACTTTAAGACAATGGGCTAATATACAGATGACTGTGGTGGTATTTGACAACTATTTAGTAGTACTTACCTTGCATAAAGAAAGTGCTAGCAAACATACTGGTTGGTGGCTTAGGAGATGGATAACTAGGAGATTCACGGTTGAAATCATCTGAATTTGGGGATGGTGCATATACCTTAAAATTAAATAGGAAATTTAATTAAAGTGTAAATGACTTATCATACTACCTCATTTACTATCTAAAATGTGTTCTATATTCCATAAAATGCCTTAAAAGGCCTATTTAATCGCTATAAAGGCCTACTACGAATGCAAAGTATACTGCCCAAATCCACATAAAAAGTGTCCAATACTACATAAAAAGTAACCATACTATCTACATGTTTCTTTTTAGCTGATTACTAGAAAAAAATACTAGTCAAAATATCCTTGTAATGCATCTTTGTATGACAATTACATCAGGTAGATGAATAAAGTCGTAAGTGTTGATGTGGCTTACAAAACACAAATTTCACATAGGCACATAATTCAAAATCTGATGCAGCAAACAAATGTCCTTTGAATACAGCATAAAATAGAATTTGGATTCATAAAATTCATTCTTTTCACTGTTATAAGATTAATCAAATCAAAATGAGTTAGATTAAATGTTGATATCCTTCGTTACTATTAAAAGTTAACTGTGAAGGTCACAACATAATTGTTGAGGGACTTCCTTAACTTAGTAACATGGCCAAGTAAACCAAATTCTGCTGAGGTTTTAATTCTTTAATTTCAAGTACATTTTCCTGTTTGGCATAGCTTTAAGAAAAATCTCATTTAATTTGTTAGTGCAGTATTCATTTCCTTTGGTAAACCTTTGTTTCTGATAAGCAAACTATCAACATTTTAAATTAGCAAATGGCCAACATTTGCATTCCTCTGGAAAACTAAACCTGGTGGTCAAACAACTTTAATGATCAAAACATGATCGCACCATTCTCATGACGACTGAAACCAAGAAGGAAAACAAATAAGCAACAATTAAAGGGATGTATGGTCTGTAAAAGTAAGCCAGTAGTCAGGAAAGAGGGAAAAGTGAACTACCGCGAGCAGCAAATGAAACTATTTATTTTGTGTTACTTTGATAAGAGTATGTCCATTAAATTCCACTGCAAAAGAAAAAATTCTAAGTGTTCAGTTAAATGGAAGAAAGTAAATAACATTACAATTATAAGAGCATATGTAAAAAAAAATACACATACCTGTATGCATAAGCATAGAAAATTTCTGCAATTACACACATGGAACTTAACAGTTATATCTCTGGACTTAGAATTGGGAAGGAGGTCTTACTTTATGCCTTTCTCCATAATTTGATATTTTTACCCTAAGCATGTATTTCTATATACTAACAACAACAAAAAAAGTTAAGGAAGCACACCAAGATTAAAATGGGAGCCAAATTTTTAGTTTACATTAACTAGCAATTATATTAATTTATTCTTCCTCTGAGGTATTAACTGTAAAGACCTCTGCAAATTAACCCAACATTCCCCAGAATTTATAAAATGGTGCAAATAGTACTTTCATTAAGGGGATGATGGGAAGATTAGATGGGATAATACATATAAATAAAATGTTTAGCATAGTGTCTTGTGCAAAGTATATTAGCTAATATTATCATCTATCATTCTAATAGAAAGTTATGCTGTTAAATATTGCCACCATTCAGTCTCTGAATACTGCTTCTTAGAGATTTTGTCTGATATGACTTTACCTATATATACAATTTATCCTAAATAAAGGGTTAAAAAGTCCATTTTAACTCTTCTTGCTAGTCCTGTTAACAGTAGCACAGGTATATCTTTTTAAAGGACTGGCATTCAGGTTTCCTACCTTTCACATCCCAGAGAACACACATCTTTGGTACCTGAGAAGTCTGGGACAAGATATAGTCCTAAGAATTACTCAGAAGGATCCTAGATAGGGGGACATGGCAGATATAATGGTTTGTTCATAACAAATATTAAACAAACATTTCTAGTTTAAAGCTATTTCATAAAAGATTGTGTTAGAATGAAATAATTGGGCATATACAAATGTGTCTGAAAGGTATTACACAGGCTAAGAGGCAGGTAAAGTTTTCAGGAAAGGAACTTCGGACTATTTTCTTTTAATCAAGTTTCATCTTCTAAACTTAGCCACAGCTCGATGTCCTCTGCCTCTTTTGTATATATACATTTCCCCAAGCTGAAACCACAAACAACGAAAAACAGTACAAGGCCATTGATTTAGCCAAAAAATACAAACAGAATCAAATTCAGAAGACAGCATCAGAACATATGCTTTTTATCACAAATGAATATTTACTACATGCATCATCTTTGATCTGAAAGTGAAATATAAAATTCTCTAATTCCACCCAGGTTATAGACTGAAAAAGTATGTAACCTTCACACTTGATAACTATGAAAGAACTTCAGTTTTAATGTGTCATTTCATACAAAAAACCCTACATAATTAGTCAGTTTAAATTTCTACATAATTTGTCAATTTATACTTCTTTATCCTTATTCCCATTCAATTCACTGTATTCCATATATGATATATTTACACTCTTAAGTTTTTTAAATGTTTGCAATTACAAAATGAAGGGATAAATCTGACTTCACTGATTTATAAATTGTTGCTAATAAAGAAGAATATACTGATCAGATAATGGTTCATTGATGGCTGTCATGAAAAGCAAGGAAACCCAAGATAAATTATACAAAACAGCAACAGACTTGCCTACACCTACTCAAAAATTTTGAAACTGTATGTAGAAAACTAGGCTCATTTTAGAAGTAGAATTTGTTTTTAGTGCTGGACTTTATAAATAGACTTTGAGAAAAATAAACTTTTAAAGGATAGATCAAATAAATGAAAATATTAAAAAAACCGAAAAAACAAAACCATAACAAAATCCTAAACGACTGTATCATTTATGTACTAATACAAGTTCAAAACTTTTATCATAATAAAAATGTTTGGAAATACATGGTTCCCAAAGAGGCCCATCTAACAGCATTTCCAACACAGGCTAAACAACTTTACTTTTGGTATCTTAACCACAGCTTGCAAAAACATAGATGCAATGTTATGAAGCAGCAGTTGTGCCAGTCTTGATTTTTCAGATCAAAGAGTTCTTGCAGCAAAGAGCAACTGATGTGGTCTCAAAGACTTTATTAATTCCAGATGTAGGAAAATAGTCATCCAATTCCACAAAAAGAGCAAGTCTCTCTTAGTTACAATCAGTACTGGCCACAAATTAAAACCAGACTGCTTATGCGATCTGATCACCTGCACATAGATGCCAGTTTTTTTCTCCCTAGTTAATGATCTAATCATACATTTAAATATCAAGGATGATTTTGTATCACAACAAACAATCTTAAAATTAAGAGAAAGGAATATGTATGTTTTAAGATGATTAAAATCTACCAGGAGTCAAACTATTTTAAAAAGAATAGAAAAGGGTACAATTAAGTAATTTAAGATGTTCTATTAAAATGTGGTAGGTAGAAATTTTCTAGCCCCTGTTTCAGAATGTCAGGCTCACAGTAGCTATCATGGGACTGTCTCTTTCCCAAGCACTTATATTTTCCTCTCCAAGAATGGCATTAGGAGAAATTTTGAGTGGTTGGTGAATAGACACTCCTAACTTGAAAGAATATAAGTAAAAATCTAACAGATATCTCCCTTTTACTATTAAGTCTGGTTGAAAAGAACAACCCCACATTAGTATTGTGAATGTCCTTATCGCACACACTTCAAATAACTCTTTAAAAGGTATAGCATACTTTAGGGATGAATAGTTACAATTACTCTTTACAGTGATTACACAATTATCCTTGGGACATTTTTTTTAGTTCATAACAACCCATTTGAGTGTAATTGGGAAAGACAGATTTCTTTTTCCCTGCTTGGATAATTCAGTTTAGTCATATGGATAATCCCAAATTCAGGGCAGACCACTCTCTGTTTAGCTCTAGAGGTGGTGTGCTCCTGACTTCAATGCATCTTTGCTGTAATTAATATTGGACACATCCCTGTGAGGCAGCGAGGTATAATGACTTTCTGATAATCATTAAGAAAACATACAAAGAAATAGAAGCTTTTGTTAAAAAAGTTTTCCTTTTTATCTAGTCACATTCAGTGATAAGACATTCCCCATCCTTTAAAAAACAGATCCACAGCTTGTGTGGTGGCTGATATTTTTAAATGTCCCAAATGATGAGGAGATGGGAATTTTCTTTAGTATGTGAGAATAGCTATATATCCCAATTAAGATACTCTTCCATAGAAAATGAGAGAAAAGCATGGGATGAGTGCTGTCCAACAGAGGTTACTGTGATTATGGAAAGGTTCTTTATCTGTGCCATTAGTCATGTGACTACTGAACACTTGAAATGTGGCTAGTACAACTGAGAAACTGAATTTTTAATTTTAATTAATTTAAATAGCCAGATGTGGCTAACAATTACTATACTGAGCAAGGCAGATTTAGATCACTCTTCCTTACCTAGCAGTTTAAGATTACATAAATTATTTTGAAAGAAATAATCTAGAATTCTTACAAGCTCCCAAGACCTATGAAAACCAAAATCAGCCTAAATTCTCTAACATTTTGGGAACATCTTCACCTAACTTGAAATAAAGAAAGATGGAGAAGTTTACTCATTTTTCTGAACATGCTCCAACACAGAACTAATTACCAAGATTTTATTATGTTTGGGCTTCTACTAGCTCTTTTTTCAAGCAGTTTGAGTAGCAGTTCTCTTTAGGTTCCAATGCGTTCAATATCATTAAACACTTCAAGGCATGCTAACATGGACCTCTGCAATGCTAATAATAGAAATTATTATAATTTCTATGCTAATAATAAAGACTATCTTCAACATAATTTATATCAACTTACCAAAATAATAAAAAACTAAATCATTTGGCTAATTTACCCTACCATCATAATTTTAAAATGAAATATAATATTCAGGAACATCCACTTGATTTATCTTATGTTTTATATTTTGTATTAAACAATAAAAATTTTACAACATCTAGATGAGTACCTAAAATCTGAAAAGAAAAAAAAAAGCCTTGGTCAATGGAAAAAAGAAAATCCTAACCCAAGTCAACTCGTATATTAAAAAA